CCGCCCCCGCCCCCACCCCCGCCTCCACCCATCATGCCCATGAGCCCCTGCATCATGGCCGGGTTCGACATCATGTTCTGCACCTGTGCCATCATGGCCGGGTTCTGCATCATTTGCTGCGCCTGGGCCATCATGTTGGGGTTGTTGAGCATGCCCGCGAGCCCACCGGCCGGGGCTCCCCCTTCTCCCCCAGCGCCGCCACCAGCGCCGACCCCGGCCAAGTTCTGAATCATCGACGCCAACCCGCCCCCCGCCCCCCCCGCCCCTCCGGCCCCTCCCATCATCGACGCCAGGCCGGACAAGTCCGGCATGCCGCCCGCGCCCGGGGCGCCACCGCCCGCCCCCCTTGTGGCAATCTCGTCCGCATCCCCCCTCGCGCCGAGCTTGGCGGTCGCCCTCCTGAGGCTCTTGGTGTTTGCGGCGTTCCCCGGCTCGATTTCGAGGCTCTTCTTGTAGGCCTTGACGGCCGCTTCGTAGTCTTCCAACTGGTTCCGGTCGTCACCGTAAAGAGTGTTTGCCAAGGGTAGCGCAAAGAGAGACACGGACAACGAAAGGGGTGAGTGTTGGGGCAAAGGGTTAATGCAAACCGAGACATGGACCAGATGAAGGGGTGGGTTTCCTCTTGATAGAGGCTCTTCGCTCGACTATCTCGCGGAAACGTTCAAGCGAAATCCAAGCTCTGTCGTGTGATCGGCACCCCCAGGCATGTTGGTTTTCATGAGTGAGAAGCAGCGGAAAGCCAGCAGCGTCGGCACAGGAAACAGCAATTCGCCGCAACCCTCGGGAGTAGGGTTGACGCTTACCAAGAGACAACTGAAAGGACAAGGTGTTGATTGCAACGCGCCCCAAACGGTTCGAAAACAAACGAAGACGACCGTGGGCACCGCAAGAGGCGGAGATATGGCACCCCTCTAGAGCGACTTTCAAAGCTCGATTGCTCCACGACCAAGCTTGTGCCAACACCAAGAACGTTCGCTTTGAAAACATCTCGTCGAGGGCTTTCCGTAGACGTATCGGGCTCTTTTCGCACCCCCGCACCCCCTTGGTTGTGGAGCAATCGAGCTTTGAAAGTCGTTCAAGGGGATGTGCCATCTCTCCGTCTCGCACGGTAGCCGTATGAAGGTCAGGGCACCAGCCTGGCCACCCGGGTACCCCGCGCTGCGGAAGCAAGGAGAAGCGTCCGCGACGCTCTTCCCGCGGCGCAAGGCGCTACAGAGTAACGGAGGCCGAGTACTGCCGTGTGAACGGGTTCCGCGCGGGACTTCTAACACCCGCGACCAGCTGCGTGGTGGCACAACGCGGATTAGACAGACCAAGACCCCGGTTGGCCACACGTCAAAACGGTAACCACACCCTGCCACCTTCTCAAGTGAGCTAGTGCTGGTTTGCAATGCTCACAGTTCTCGAAGGCATTGCGCCTCAAGGTTTTCCAACAATCCGACACAAGAAGCATTTCTCAAGAGGATACTTTTACAAACTCAGCCGCACACGCAACAACCTTTGAGGCACCGCACCTGGAACCTCCCATGGGAACGACACCAAAATATTTCCCCAATTGGTCGAATAACAAACTTAGCCGGTACCAATTACAACACCTTTTGGGCACCGCACCTGGAAGTAGGCGTAGCCGAGCCTGGTGTACGCCTTCGCGTACGACGGGTTGAGGTCGATGGCCTCCTGGCAGTCGACGACGGCATCGTCGTTGCGGCCGAGGTAGCACAGCGCGGCCGCCCGGTTGCAAAGGTAGACGTGGCTGTTGGGGCCCGAGGGGGACAGCTCAAGCGCCTCGGTGTACTTCGCCTCGGCGCCTTCGTAGTCCTTGGCCAGCAAGAGCTTGTTCCCCTCCCCCTTGACCTCCTCCGCCTTCTTCTCGTCCGCGGCCTTCGCCCCAGTGGCCGGCGCAGCGGCCGCTCTACTCGTCGCGGCCACCGCCGCCGCTGCCGCCGGAGTAGCAGCAGCAGCAGAGCGGAACGAGGCCCCCCCGGCCTCTTCCACGGGAGGCCCGCCGCTGGCCGCTTCCGTGCGCGCCTTAAACTTGGCCACGAGCTTCGCCATGCGCTCGTCGTAGCCCTCGCTGCCCTCCTCCACACCCTTGAAATAACCCTTGGCGGAGACGACCTTGACGAACTGGCTGAACGCTTCGGAGGACTGCAGCTCGGCGAGCTGCTGGCCGGCGCTCTTGGCTCCGAGGGCGGCGCAGCCCGCGCGGAAGATGGACTCCAAGGTGTGCGGCTTCAGGGACAGCTCGCGAACCTGTCAAAGGAACGTATGGCTTGTGTGAAATCGAGGGCCCGTTTTTCTCTATGTGGCGATATGCCCAAGAGAACCCGTTGCTTCTCTTTGGCGGCTCAAGCTTTAGAGCTAAGAGGGGCTTGCCACGGCGAGGGCGTCAGCCTATGTGGCTTCCGAGGCAGTGCAAGGCCGTGCAACATTCGTGCTTGGTTGTTGACGACAAGAGTGGAAGCACGGGCTTGTTGCACTCACGATGTGTCGATCCGAATTGGCTGCGTGACTGCTACAATGTGCTTGGAAACAGAGAACGAATGTATGTTACCACTTGCAGTGCGATTACTTCAAAGGCCCCGACCCTCCAATCTCATTATTACTTGCCGCCTGAAGAAAGCCACATGAATTCGAGAGAAGGGTGCCTACTGACCTGCTTTGGGTCTTCCAGGCTCAGGCCGAACGCGGAAGAGAGGCTGGAGATGGCCGAGGCCACGTGCGTTCGCGACTCCGACGGCAAGTCGCCCTCGGCGGAAGCAAGGTGCTCGAGCACTGATAGCATCATGGTCGGGGTGTCCACACTCATGATTTCTGCGGGGTGGGGCGTCAGGGTTTTGCATAATGAGTTGCCAGTTAGGATCGTGAGTGGTGAGCATGGTTGGCGTTTAGATCCAAACGTGAGATTGGACGGTCGCGCGCGTTCTTGAGAAGGTTAGCTTCCATCGTTGAGTCCGTTTGTCACGTGAATGAAAAAAGAAACAAAAGTGAAACGACTCATGCATGCATGCCACTGCTCGTTAAGGCAAGCGTTTTGTAGATCCCTTTCAGGTAGAGAGATTCCCGGCGCAATCGGTATACCCGCGACGCTGACAGGGGAAGAAAAAACTGGAGGAAACTCGGGTGTGAAATTGAAGTCGGGAATGAAGTGCAGAGCAGTGCTCGCGGTTTGTTGGAGAACGGTTTGGTCTGCGCGTTGGCGCTCAAGGCACCCCAGCACATCTTCAAGACATTCACTCGCACTGTCGCCGTGCGCTTTTTCTCGTCCCACCTACCCTGGGCGCCGTTGACACGTGTCGGAATATATTTCGCACACAAGCCGGGATTGCAGAAGGGGAAGATGGACAAAACCACGTATACCAAACACCAAACACTCGCTCTGCACTTGGTGAGTCGCACGGACGCCGCCAGAAAGACTAGCAATGACAGCAGTACACTTCCTTCTTGGGTGGTACGAAAATGAAAACCAGGGCAAACTCACAGCAGATGCACCATTAGAGAGGTGTACGCGGTTGTGCATCTGTCTAGATGGACCAGAACGCCACAAAACTAAGGGGACATATGCATATAGCTGTTATTAATATTACACTTCCAGATGCATGTTTTTTTTTTTTTTTTTTCTCTCCCATCATTGGACTCTGCCGTCTGCCCCTCTGGCCCCTATCCTCCACTTCTACTGGCTAGACGACCCAACCGGGGTCACATAGGAGGGGGGGGTTGGACCCCCTCCTGCGGTTCATGCCTGAGGTATTTTTATCGCGAGAAGGGTACAGCAATCCCTTCCCTCGCGACTTACGAAGTCGATTATGGTTTACTAACAAACGAGCTTTGCAGCGCGTCGCTTTCATCCTAGACCAGGATTTATTTAGTGAGAAAAAAACTCTCTCTGCCGGGACTCGAACCCATGACCTGGCCCTTAGCAGGCTGCGAGGCTACCCACTAGACCACCGGGGCGACCGTGACCTCCGCCGAAGGAAAGGGAACAAGTCCGTGAGTCTACCCTATCCACTCAAGTTGAAAGGTGGGTCCAAAGTTATGCTGGGAAGAACTCGTGGGCAACAACAAGGAACTATCCATAAGATGTCTCGAGGGTGCCGTTTTGTCGTGCAGGTGTTCCACGAGCGAGACAAGGGCAGTACAGCAGCAGAGGGGTAGATAGACAGCAGCATCTGAGTTCACACCGCACATCTGTTCTTCGTTTCTAGAAAACGTTTCGTGGCAGAAAAGCGAGGGTGCAAGGTCAAACGGAAGTGAAAGCAGACAATCACACACACGCCAAATGCCATATCCCTCACGAAAGGTTCACTTTTCACCTGGTTAGGGGAAGCGGCGACCACCAGAGAGAAGAGAGAGGGACTGCAGGTGCTCTCTCTGCTCGCCCCAGAGGCAAGCCGGGGAGGCTCCGTGAATCAGGATATTGTACGTACCCACACCTTGACCCCCCCATGGTCGGCCCGACACAGCCCTGCTGCAGCGGCTGCTGCAAGCAAGTACACGGACGCGAAACATGACCTCTGCTGCTGGTTTTCACAGGACGAGGCGGCCTCCCATGGCATTGGTGGCCACTGCTCTGTTGGCAGCACCTGGTGCCGCCTTTACAGCTTCAACTTTGCCATTCCGTCACCAACAGCCGTCGTCTAGCAGAAGATTGCAGCAGCGAGCTTGGGAGCGGTCATCCCGGTGAGACTTACGCAGCTCAGCCATCACGGCAAGGAAACGGATGTAGACAGAGGGCTGTCGTCGTGGGTATGTAGTTCTCACACCTTCTGACAGCGGCGGCCTGTAGCTGTGGCGCTGGCGTGGCTCCCAAGAACATGTACAGGTTGACTCATGTGGTCGTTGTTGACGTACGTTGTATACCACCCTCCCCGAAACGCGCACGTTTTCGAAGCACCCTTGCTGTGACAGGGGTTGGGGGTACGTCGTGGTAGCAGTAGCGTTTTCACACGATATGCCTATCTATGGATATGATACTGCTGTATTATTGTTGATGGCCTGTGGCCGACCTTATCGTGATGGAGGGAAACCTTAACCTTACGTTGTTGTGGTCGATAACTAAAAAGTGGCATCGAAATTCGCAGCGTCGGAATTACATGTTCATCACTGCCTGTCCCTGTGACGTTCACGTGTTGACGATAGAGCACGAACGCCGGCGAAGTCGCGCCAGCAACGTCGAAAAAGGTTTTATTTGTGTTTGTCTTGCGCCCAATCGCGAATTACCGACATCCCCTCTCGTAGTGAATGGCTTTCTTGCAGCGTGGGCAACTCTAAATCTGGTGCAAGAGAGGCTTGTTAACAGCACTGATACTGCTGTATTGCACGCGTGGTGTATGTACATGATGCAATCGAAGCCGTCTCGGACATTGGTGTGCACGGTCCACTTGAGCCTAGGGTCAGTGCAGATCAATCTATCGACGAATGGTGAAATCTAGGGCTAGTAGTAAACGGCCGCCATGTATTCTACTTCAAGTAATTGCTGTCTGCACACTAAAAACCGTTCCCGTCTCCGCTAAGTACGTTGCAATGTCCGTACTGGTCCAACTGACGCGGACGTCCTTCCGCGGGCACAAGCCAACAACCCCCAACAGATTACAATTTCAAGAAATCAAAACAAAAAAACTGGAACCCGATAGTGCAAGTTAGAATTTCCAACGTGGGTGGGTTCCTTCATATCATCAACGCCCGATTTTAGTGTTGTAGGTTGTAGGGGGGGGGCACATCTCCAACGCCGGAGTGATGCAAGCGGTACCGTGTTCTTTGGCGACGCCCTTAGAATCGCTGTGGCCGTTCGAAGCAGGCCTAGCTCGGCCAGTGGCGGAGGTAATACGAAGAACAGCTTCGGGACCGCCGCCGCACGCGATCCTTTTCGCTCTCGTGCCATTCGCTGACTCGCCCCTCCGCTTCTCGCTCGCTGGCGTCTGTTTGCCGTTGATTCTCTCGCCTTGATAAGCCCTGTCTGTGGCGTTCCGGTGCTTGCAGCAAAAGGAAAAGGGGGCAAGGTGATCCAGCGCAGCATGAACATAGTGTCACGTACCTTCCAGAGTTGTCCTTAGAGCGACCTTTCCTTCTTTTTCGTTGCGCGAAATATCTAGAGTCATCGATCCATAATTCGGTGTATCCGAAACCGTTGAACTCGTCCAAGAGTATCGTCGAGATCGGAATGGAGCATCCGTACCAAGAAACCATCGTCAGAGACCTTCATCCAATCGAACGTCCCGGAGTGTCGACGGTGCCGTCGTTCCACACCTTTGTCTCGTTTGTGGTTCGGAGAGGACGAGCTAGCTGTCAACGCTGCCGAGGTTCTCAACGGGTAGAGGTTTTGCGTGCCACACCCATCGAAAAACTTCCTGTCCCCCGGGCCAAGACGTGTAACGTGTTCAGGACCGCCTTCGCGAGAAAGTACATTTATGACGAAATGGAACAGGGAGGGGAAGGGGGGGGGGCGGGGGGCGGGGGTACGCAGACCCTATGCCTAACCTAACTTGCCCGATTGCATGCTTTGCCCCAACATGTTTGCTTGAACGAAAAAATGCTGGGAAGGCTATCTAACCACGGAGTGGTCAGCATTCGGCACGGTGAAGCGGAAGCCCTTCTGTAAATCAACGTCGTAGTTTTGTGGTCATCGCCTTACTGGCAGCGTGCAGTTTTAGTGCTATGGCACGGGATTACCCCTGAGCGTGTGTGCCGTCAATGCCCTTCGTATTCTCTTTCACGTATCGATTTTTCTTGAGTAGTTGTCCATAGGGGAAAGCGTGCGCCCGCGCTTAGCGTGGCGCACTTATGTTATTTTGCCACTCTCTTTCAACACGCTGCCTTGCCCTTCTCCGCCTTGTTAACGGCAGGAGGAGGAAACGGCAGGGCCTGCCATCGACATCGAGACCGTCTCGAGCGAGCTGCTGATGGTACAGGAGGAGGCAGAGAAGGAGATGAAGGCGGCCGCAACTCTGCAGGTACAGAATGACGTTCAATACTCCGCGGTTTATGCGTGGGAGCTGACCGTTGCTTGCTTTTTGGCCACAGGTTTCGAGGCATCCCCAAACAATGAACGGCATTGGCGTCACCCTTTTCTTGTCCCTCATGTACCCTCCCGCTACTGTTGAGAATGCCGTTGTTGTTGCTGCTGCTGCTGCTGCTGCTGCTGCTGCTGCTGCTGCGGTTGTTGTCGATGCTGCTGCTTCCCCCTGCGGCTGCTGTTGCACTTGCAGGAGCTAGAAGACCTTCGACGCAAGTACATGACCAAAAAGGGACCAGTGCAGAGGGTCATGGGACAAATGAGACTCCTCAGCCCGGAAGACAAGGTACGTGGCGACTCGGTCGGAAAGGACTAGACGGGGGGGCTTAGTGCCACCGTTCTTCTTTTGACACCATGAGTGTGTTCTTTTTTATTCCGCCGACTTTTTTTTCTCCTCATCATCCCGGATATGCCCTGTTTTATTCCACTACAGCGGTGTTTACGAGGCACGGCTGTAAAACTTTCTTCTTCCGTAGTGAGATGAATGGCGCTACTCCGTCTCCATGTCGCCATCCGTTGCGGAAAGGAGGATGTGCCGCAACAACAAAGTACCGCCCGCCACAGAATATCCCACAGCCGTTTCTCTCCTAGGGTTCAAGCGACCGACCAACGCTCTAGTGTTGGCAATGGTCCCCGTGAGAGGCCCCCTTTCGTGATGGCGCGTCCACCCGTCCGTCCAAAGTAGCACAACCCTTCATGGTTCAGTGTGTTGCCCCTCCCCTCCGCGCGGCAGCGGCGTGGGGGGGCACCCGGTGGGTGACCGTTGGCTCTGCAGTATTCGACTCATCCGTCGACCTCAACATTGTGTTGTTGCTGTTGCTGTTGCTGTTGTCGTTGTCGTTGTCGTTGTCGTTGTTGTTGGTGTTGGTGTTGTTGTTGTTGCTATCTTTGATTGCGGTGATGGCGTGAGGCAAGGGGCAGGTCGGTCTTCGTTCTGGAGTTATTTTCCCGAGCGGTCAGATGCTCACACCTCCCGCTGTGGCGACTGTATCGCGTTCAAGCCGCCGTTACAGCCCGTCTCACGAAAAGACTCCTCCGCGATCCGTCCATGTCTCAGGAGGCTTCATGGCCAGACAACGGTTGGACAATCCTTTCCCTCTGTCAACTACCAAAGTCGATTGTTTTTTGCTTGCCACTTCCCATTATTATCTCGCTGTTGTTCTTCCCCTGAACTTTGCGAGCCAGGACCAAGTCGAGGCTAGCTGTGTAGGAACACGGGCGTATGAAACCTGCCCCCCCCCCCGCCCCCCACGTGTGTGTGTGTGTACTATGTTTTCGGCCAACGAGAGGTTTGCAACTACGTGATGAGAAAGAAGGACACCACTTGTTTAATATCCCCTCTCTGTGTGTCGGTGCTCTCTATCCCCTCCTCCTCTTTCGTACCGCCGTCGTTCCTCTTCCCGTACGCGCTCTTCCTGCGTTGACGCTGCTGCTGCTGCTGCTACTGCTGCCGCTGCTGCTGCTGCTACAGCCGAAGCTGGGTAAGGTTAGCAATGTAGTGAAGGCGTCCTTGGAGGAAACGCTCAAGTCTTCCAAGGCCGCGCTCGAGAACGCTGCCGTCGAGGCGGAGATGGAGAAGGACAAGGTGGACCTCACGCTGCCCGGGTGAGCCTATCTTAACTTTTCCACTCCACGAGACTTGTTTTTTGTTAATGCTCCAGTCAGAGGATTACCGTAGATTCCATAAGATACCATACCCCCTGGACCAATTTTCAAAGCTCGATTACTCCATCACGAAGAGGATGTCGAGTTCAAATGTTCAAATTATACGTGTTCGGAAAGCTCTGGCGACTTCGACCCCTAAGTTTTTTCTTTCTTTCTTTCTTCCACCTGGTTTTCTTGGGAACACTCCCGCAGCCACCGGACACTTGCACATACCCAACGTAAACTGTAGCAGTCACGACAGGGCTGACGAGGCGAGAAACATTCACTTTGCTACCCCCTAACATGATCAAGACATGTTAGCTTGCCAATAGCGTTGTCTGTTGTGAAAACATCGTACGACTCAGGAGGTCTGTGCCATAAAACGTTCCCATTTCTACCCCCCGAACATGATTAAGACACGTCTCCAATAGCGTTGTCTGTTGCGAAGACTGGTACGACCTAGGACGTCTCTGCGGGAAGCACCACAACGAATATTTAGGTGAGTACCCAAAACTGGTTCATCCATGGCGACTCGACCGTTCGTGTGGCGACCGGCTTTTTTTTTTTTTTTACTCTTATCTTAGGATCCAAAGCGGGAGGCACGCCCCGCACGGGCACCGGCACCCGCTGTCCATCATGACGGAGCTGGCCACGGACGTGTTCATAGACATGGGGTACTCCCTTGTCGACGGCGTGGAGGATGCTCCCGAGATCGAAAACGACTACTACTGCTTCGAGGCGCTGAACTGCCCCAAGGACCACCCGGCGAGAGATATGCAGGTAAAGTACAGCAGCAGGCAGTCAATCAGTCGAGTCGTCCCCGCCTTCAAGGACACCAGCATTAGGGATACTCCCCCGATTTAGGGACACTTTTTAAGGAAGCACGCTGCAGGGTTCCAAAAACACACCAGCATTATCGATAGTTTTCGATAGTTTTTAGTGCTATCCCCGCTGAAGGACGACACGGGTGTCCATAAGAACGCCAATGATTGGCGACATTCCCCGCGTTGTGGACAACTTTTCTTGAAGAACACCAGGTGTCCTTAAAGACGCCAACATTTACGACATTTTTCTATGAAGGTTGCCACGAGTGTCCTTGAAGACACCAACGATATGCAGGTACAGTACAGCAGCAGGCAGTCAATCAGGCGAGTCGTCCCCGCCTTCAAGGACACCAGCATTAGGGATACTCCCCCGATTTAGGGACACTTTTTACGGAAGCACGCTGCGGGGTTCCAAAAACACACCAGCATTAACGATAGTGCTATCCCCGCTTAAGGACGACACGGGTGTCCGTAAGAACGCCAATAATTAGCGACCCTCCCTACGTTGAGAACACAGCAGTGAAGAACGCCATGAGCGTCCGTAAAGCGCGAAAGACTGTGCCTGTTTTTGGCTTACAATTGTTCATCGCCCCTTCGTTGGAAACTTCTCAAGTCCTCATACAACACAAGGATTTTTTTTGTCGTTTTTGCTTTTACGTGGGCCCGCTCAAGGTTATGTAGCCCAATCTCTGATTTATCTCTCCTCCATTTGGTTTCGAAACGCACGCAAATAACCTTCTGGTACTCTCACCTCCTCAACAGCCATCAGCTCGAGGAAGACTCCCGGCCATGCCTTACAATTATGAATGTGAGAGCCTGGTCCTCCCCCCCGGTGTTTACCATCGGGGTTGGGTTTTCGTCGCATGGCAACGACGTTGTAAAACAAGGCCCCCAATCGGTGTTTGCCATCGGGATTGGGTTTTCGTCGCTTGGCAACGACGTCGTAAAACAAGACAATTCACTTCGTGAGCTCGGCAACCAGGTTACCGTTTTTTATTTTCTTACCTCTTTTTTTTTTTGGCGGTAACCATGATGGTGGTCGAGTAGATCATGTTGTG